AAATAGTAAATAATGATACAAGGAAAGATGTCATAACTTTTTATATCAATACATTATTTATATCAAAATATATAAAATAAAGATAAAATAAAAAAAAATTAATAAAAAATAAAATAAAATAAAATAAAATAAATAAATAAAAAAGATTAACAAAAAATATTTTTTTTACTCATAATATGTGATTATTTTAAAATTATTAACATTTTATATAATATCATTTATAAATTAAATAGAAAATATATATAAATAATAATAATAAATACCACTTATTAATTTCCAATATAATATACATAAAAGATGTTGTGATTTTATTTTTTGATATAAAGTAAAATCATTAAACATTTGTATATCTGTGGTAATGTTTGTACCGATACTAAAACCTAAAATTAATGCATAAATATTGATCCATAATGAAGACAACGGAATAAAAAAGAACGCAATATGATTTATTAAATTAAGTAACACACTATATATAGATGCTCTTTTACGACCTATTTATTATTTTTAAATAAAATTAATAATTTTTAATTTATAAATGTAAATTTAAATATTTTACTGTTATGTTACTCACCATATTTATTTCCTATATATGACCAATATAAACCTCCACATATCTGCGCAACAAATAACCCTATTAATGGATTTACCCAAAATGTATTTTCATTATTTGATTCAATTGATTTTTTAAATTCCGGTAAATTTATTAAAAATGATGTTATTTGATATGATCCTAAACCTGTTATTTTTAATTATATTTTATTTTATTATTTTTAATATATAAAAATATATATATATAATAAATTGAATTAGTAAAAAAATTTATATATATTTTTTTTAATTATAAATCAATAAAATCATAATTAATTTTAAAGTATACCAATTCCTGCACATGAAAGCATTGCCATAGATTGTTGAAAAGGTCCATAGCCAATTTTATATAAGGCTTGGTCTACTGTATATTTTAATTCTTTCTTATTGTTAAACATTTTTTTTATTTTATTTTTTTTTTATCTTTTATTTGAAAAATTTTTAATTAAATTTTTCTTTAAATATTAAATTTATTATTACTTCAACTAAATTTTATGTTTTACTTTTATTGAAAATTATGTATTTATTATTCTATATTCTTATTTTTATAACTTTATAGTATTTTTATATAAAGTATTTTAATATATTTATATGAATTTTTTTTTTTATTCATATAATTTTTATATAATTTATTATATTTATATGAATCTTTTTTATTTTTATTAATAATTCATATAACAATTATTTCTTTTTTTTTTTTATAAAAAAAAAAAAAAAAAAAAAAAAAAAAAAAAAAAAAAAAAAAAAAAAAAAAAAAAAAAAAAGAGTTTTAATAAATTTATAATATTTTTAAAGATTTCTTTTCCCAAATATTTTACAATATTTTCAAAAGAAAAGTCCTACTTATGTATATAATTAATTATTTAAAAACAAAAAAGCAAAAAATAAAAAACTTTTTTTGTATTGATGAATGAATATTTAAACAATTATTAATATATAATATTATCAAATTAAAAATAATTTTTTAATTAAAAAATAAAAATTATTAGTATAAGATTTTTATTCTTTTATATATAATATATATGTAGAAATAATTTATTTAATAAATATTTGAAATAAAATAACAATACTTACATTATTACTTATTTAAATAAATAAAGTATTTATATTAATAATATATATTTTGCTTATATTTTTTTTTATTCCTTTTCTTTTAAAAAGTTCATAAATAATTATTATTAACTTGATTTTATTGTCTATTTAATAATTTGTAATAAAAAAAAATATTACAAATTTAGCTCAACTCATTTATTATATATTATTTAGGGAATAAATATATATTTAATTTTTATATTCTTTCGATAAAATTTCTGAAAAAAGAAAAAAAAGAAAAATATTTAAAATATATATTTGAATATCTTTCTTTAATATATTATAACCAATCAAGGGATTTAATGTTTTAATATTTTTTTTTAAAAATTATTAGTATATTTTATAATAATTACTATTAAATTATTTCTTATATATTTTATTTTCTTTTTTCTTCAATTAATATTTTTTGAATTTATTAATAATTAATAATTTATCAACAAATAAATAAATAAAAATAAATAATACGAAAAAAGAAATTAAACAAAATAATTAAAAATAATTGAATAATTTAATTATTTTATAATTTTTTTAATAATTTATTTAAAAATAAAAAAACGTTGGTTATAACAATAATATAATAAAATTATATTTCTTATTATAATATAAATAAAAAAGAAAAATAGAAAAAAAGAAAAAAAAGAATAAAAAAAGAGAAATAGAAAAGTATTAATAAAAAATTTTTTATACTAAAAAGGATTTTCGCCTTTTTAGTATAAAAAAATTTTAAATAAATAAATAATAAATAATAAATAAATAATAAATAATAAATAAATAATATATAATAAATAAATAATAAATAATAAATAAATAATAAATAATAAATAAATAATAATAATAATAAATAAATAATAAATAAATAATAAATAAATAATAAATAATAAATAATAAATAAGTGAATAATAAATAATAAATAATAAATAAGTGAATAATAAATAATAAATAATAAATAAGTGAATAATAAATAATAAATAATAAATAAGTGAATAATAAATAATAAATAATAAATAAGTGAATAAATAAATAATAAATAATAAATAAGTGAATAATAAATAATAAATAATAAATAAGTGAATAATAAATAATAAATAATAAATAAGTGAATAAATAAATAATAAATAATAAATAAGTGAATAATAAATAATAAATAATATTAAATATTAAAATATATTATAATATATTAACAATGTAAATATAATTAATTTAATCTCTAATTGGAATTTGATTTTTATTTAGTTTTTAATTTATTTATATTAAAATAATATATTATATAATTTATTTAATATATTATACATGTAATCTTTTTTTTACTTTTCCTTTTTTAAATAAAAAATAATAAATGTTTTATATTATTTTTATAATACTAATATATTATCTATAATAAATTAAACATTACCCTATTATTAAAATTTGTTTATGTTATTTGAGTAACATAATAATAATTTATATAATATATTAAGAATACATTAAGAATATATAATAATATATTAGAGAAATTATTTCATTTGTATAATATTATTAAAAATAATTATAAATTTTAAAATATAAAATAAATTTTAAAGTAAAATGTAAATTTAATATTTAATTATAATTTTAATTTTATAATGTAATATATTAAGTTATATTAATTTATATTCATGTAAATATTTTTTTTTATTTTTTATATAGAAATTAAAACAATTTAAAAAAAAAAAAAGAACTTTAAACACTAAATGAAAATGATAGAAAAATCTTAATGAACACACTATATTAATTCTTGAAAATAATTAAAAAATAAAAAAGCTATCATTTATCATATATTATTATATAGATAATTGTATTTAATGAAACATTTAAAGTTTTAATAGAATAGACTTTTTATATCTTTTGAAGTTTATTATTACTTACTAATCTTCATCTTTTGAAAAAAAAAATAGAATGAATATTACAAATAAACATTATACATTGAGTTATAGTAATATAGCATTTGTATTAATCATCTATCATACAAATATGAAAAATAAAATAAAAAAAAGATTAATTTAAAAATATGAAATAATAAATTAAATATAAAATATAAAAAATACTGTATTAATTAGGAAAAAGTGGAAAGAGAAATTAAATATATATTTTTTATATTCATAATAACTTTATTTACTAATTAATAAAAAAAAATTTTATTTATTAATTGATAATAAAAGTAAATAAAAAATAATTAAATAATTAATATATCATCAAGCAAAAAGAAATCTCCATCTTTTATTTACAATAAAAAATGTCTAAAAAAAAAAATTAAAATTAATAGAAAAAAAAAATAAAAATTATCCCTCTTAATTAACTTATTCTTTTCATTTTTTTATCCATTTATATACAAATTTATATACATATTTATATGTATGTATATATTTATGTATGTATGTATGTATGATGTATAATTTTCACAAATAAAAAATAATAAATTAATTAAAATTAAAAAATTTGTTATAAAGTTGTATATGTTGTATATTGTAAATATTATTTAGATATTATACATTTATTATATATATTCTTTCTTTTAAATTTTATATTATAATTTTTTAGAACTATAATTATTATAGTATTGTTCCTCTTTTTTATTTATTTTCCTTTTTTTTAATTATAGACATCAAATTGTATTACAATAACTGAAAAAATAATTTTTTTTATATTAATTCTTTTTAATTAAAAGGTATTACAAACTAAAACTTTAAAAACTTTAATTTTTCTATTACTAAAAAAAAAATTTAATTTTTATAATATATTATTATTTATTTATAAAAATTTAAAATTATAATAAATCTTATTTTTACCATACTCATTGTGGGAGGTTTCTCCTCTTTTTATTTATTTTATGTATTAAATAATAGCTATTTTAAAAAATAAATATATATTAAATAATAATACATAATAAATAATAAAACTTAATAAATAAATAATAAATAATAAATAATAAATAATAAAACTTAATAAATAAATAATAAATAATAAGTAATAAAACTTAATAAATAAATAATAAATAATAAGTAATAAAACTTAATAAATAAATAATAAATAATAAGTAATAAAACTTAATAAATAAATAATTAATAATAAGTAATAAAACTTAATAAATAAATAATAAATAATAAATAATAAATAATTGAATAATAAATAATAAATAATTGAATAATAAATTATAGATAATAAATAATAAATAATAAATTACAAAAAATTTATAAATGATAATATATAATATAGAAGTAATAAATAATAATCCATAATAAATAAATAATGATAACTAATAAATAATAAATAATAAGTAATAAAGCAATAAATAATTATACTTTTTTTATAAGTCCAGTCGGTTAAGACAATACAGGTTACTGTAGTGGCCGGGGTTCGAATCCCCGACATGGCACCAAATAAGCACTGAGGTTTTCTATCCTGGGGTAAAATATAATCACAGTGATATCCAAAAGGCTTTCCCTTGACTGCTTATCCATCCAACCTTGTTACTAAGCTACGACTTAATCATAGGCCTTGATGATGTCTCCTGTTAATTTTATAGGAATTAGGAAGAACAAATTCCAACACGCTAATGATTATACACACTGGGGTATGAAAGAATGGTTCAAGTTCCAATGTTCTTGGTCAATGGATTGTTTTTTTTTTTTTTTTTTTTTTTTTTTTTTTGGTATGTACAGACCTTAGTTAAAGCCCTCTCCCTTCAGGGGCAGTGGGAATATTGATGTAGTCACACACTTCTATATAGGTAGATATTGTTCCTTATGGACAGCCTTACTGAGTGTTCAGCATTGGCGCTCTGGCATGCATATAATTGCTTAGAATTTTTCTCGTACTTTTTCTCGGAGTGCTTTTCTGGTCCGTAACTTCCTTTTGAAGCGGGGCCAATATAGCCTAACCCATGGAGATTTGTACTAGCTCCCTTGACAAAAGCATAAATGTCAGAAAAATTGCAATCTAGTTGAATATATCTACTCCACAAGTAGAATATATATCTACACGGACACCTGAAACCATGAACCCAAATGCTAGTAATTCCCTCTTAAATATATTAAATTACAATATTAGTGCAACCCTCTCGGGTCAACAGTTAGTACAGTATCTTTTCTAATAATAATATACAGAAAGGTGATATACTTACCTTTAACACTAACCACCATATTCCGTAAAAACCTCTTATAAAAAACCTGAAAAATGGTCATAGGGCAGGACTGAACCAGAAGTCTTAGGTATACTAGCCCACTGACTAACAACCAGGATAGAACCTGGTTCGATGTGGTCAATGAAGATATATATGTATGATTGTAGAGCTAATTCAGCTCTTGAGAGACGTGAAACGACATGTTGTGAGCGGCGACTTCATACTGGTATGCCGTATATCATCACTTCTACAGTAATAACTGTTGGGTACTAATGGGATATGGGTACTCGTTATGCGTATGTTTGTTTGTTTTTACCTATTCTACAAGTAGAATTTGTCAACAAAGTGGCTTTATATTTTTTTAACCTATTTATGTATGTTAAAGCAAATATATTTATCATAATATTTAATAGTAATGGACTTTTAAATGTTATAAAATATCATTTTAAATATTTTATTCATTATTATAATTATTTATTCTTAATATTAAACATTAATAAAATATTAAAAAAATTTTAAATTAATATTTTATTATCCTTAATTATTATTAATATAATTATAAATTTTATTTTATTTAATATGAACTTTATATTAACATTTTTACTATTTAATTAAATTTATATATATTTTTTATTTCATTTAATTTTTATTAATACTTTTTTTTTTTTATTTCATTTAATTTATATTAATACTTTATTCTTGAACTTTTTCGTTCTTTATTTTATTTTATTTTATTTTATTTTTTGAAACTTAAATTTTTATTAATTTCATTTCATTAATTTCTTTATTTTTTTTGGAATTTAAAAGAAAAATTTACATACAATTTTTTTTTGTACATTTCATTATTATATTTGAAATTTTTTATATAAAAAACACATTTCAATTAATATTTATTGAATTTTAAATTATGCTAAAATAAATAATTTGGTTTATTATTAAGCTATATTTTTTTATAAGGTATTATTTATTTTTAATTACGTCATAAACTCATTATTAATAAAAAAAGTTAATAATTTTAAATATTAGTAAAAATGAGACTTTGTATAATTAATTTCCTAACTTGATTTTGATAATGTTACTTTAATAATAAAAATTTTTGATGTCATTTAGCAATCAAGTTCTCGCTCTCATATTTGTTAATTTATTATCTATTATAACAACAATTCGGAAAACAAATTTATAATCAATATTTTATTGAAAATATTTATATATATTTGATAAAACCTATTTTTTATTTCCAAATTTACTAAAATATAAAGTATAATATGGGAAAAGTTTTTTATAAAATAAAAATACTAAAATATTAAAATAAATAAATACTAAATATTTTTTATTTATTCATTTTATTAATTTTATATTTTTTTATCCAAATTTTTTATTTTTAGATAAAAATACAGAATATATATGTAATACTAAATATATGTAATACAAAATTTAGATATAAATAATGAATAATAAATAATAAATAATAAATAATAAATAATAAATAATAAATAATAAATAATAAATAATAAATAATAAATCATAAATCATAAATAATAAATAATAAATAATAAATAATAAATAATAAATAATAAATAATAAATAATAATTAGTGAATAATATTAGTAATAAATAATAAATAATAATATTATATAAATAAATAATGATAATAGTATTTATTAAATAATAAATAATAATATTTATTAATAAATAAATATATAATAAATAATAAATAAATAAATAATAAATAATAAATAAATAAATGATAAATAATAAATAAATAAATAATAAATAATAAATAAATAAATAATAAATAATAAATAAATAAATGATAAATAATAAATAAATAAATAATAAATAATAAATAAATAAATAATAAATAATAAATAAATAAATAATAAATAATAAATAAATAAATGATAAATAATAAATAAATAAATAATAAATAATAAATAAATAAATAATAAATAATAAATAAATAAATAATAAATAATAAATAAATAAATAATAAATAATAAATAAATAAATAATAAAATAAGGTAATTAATATTAATAAAAATAGAAGTAAAATATTAAAATGTTTCTAATATATTAATTACCAAATGCATCCAAATTAAAATTCCAAATTTAAATTTCAAAAATAAAAGCCTATTGCAATATATTAAAATAAATTGAATTATATACATTAATTAAAAAAAAAGATAAATGAAAAATTAAAATATTAATAATACATATATTATTTAATTTCTACAAAAATATTAATTATATAAAAAATATACTTATTAATTGATTATTTATTAAATAATATTTATTTGTATTAAGTCATTCATTTTTTGTCCTTTTTTTTTTATTTATTATTTTTTTTTTATTAAATATTTTTTCTTTTTTCTTTTATTTTATAATACTTTATATTAAAGATATAAAGCAAAACTTTTAAAAAGCAAGAACTAATAATTATTTATAATTATTTTTATTTATTAAAACATTTGTTATATTTATTTATTTTCTCTTATATGAAATATAATTAATATAATATATTATAAATAAAATCCAATTTTTTATTAATATTAACAATAAAATTATAGCTTGAAAATAATACTTACGAAATTTATGTACATATTAAATCATTATTAGTTTAAAAGTAAGTTTAAATAAATTAATAACAAAGAAAGAGTAAATGACTGAATAATATATTTATTTAACATTTATATTTGTAATTTAAAGTAAAAGTATACTATTAAAATATTAATATTAAAAAATATATATCTCTCGATTTTTTTTTTTTTTTTTTATTTTTTTTATTTTATATTTATATATAATTCTTCTTTTTCTATAATATATTTGTTTTATACTTGTATTTTAATTTTTTTTTTTTATTTTTTTTCACATAAAATTAACCTTTGGTTATAAGAAACAGAAAAAGGTCATATTCCAAAGAAAATAAATAATAATAATAATAATATATTTTTTTTTTTTTCTGTTTATCAATTTCTTTATTATTTATTGTACAAATGTATATATCTATTGAGCAGTAAATCTAATTAAAAAACTAAATAAAACAGATATACTTAGGCAATAAGCTAAATTTGAAATCCAAATAAAAATAAGAGAAAATAAAAAAAAAAAAAAAAGAAAAAAAAAAAAAGAAGGAAAAATCAATAACTGATATAATCATAATAAAAAATACAATAATTTCTGTAAATATATAAACAGATATCATTTTACTATTTATATTATTTCATTTGTAAATAAAAGTAATGGGAAATACAAATACAAAAAGAAGTGATGACTATAGTTCGAGTTCGAATCGAAAAAAAAGTAATGAATTTGTCGATCAACAAATTAACTATGGATCATTAGTAACTAAAGGAATTTATACTTCAACACCTGAATATGATATTGATGTAGTAAGAGGATTTATTTTAAAGAAGAAATTAAGTCCTTTTTATAAAGGAATGGAAGATTATTCCGATAATCCTTACCCAGGAGCTTCTAGTTCTTCTAACAATCAAGATACATTAAATGAAAGTACAAATCAAAATTTAACTTCAAATAATGATAATAGTATTAATAAAAACAATAATAATGATAGTAATAGTATCGACGTTTCAAAAAAGAAATCTTTAAGAAGAAATAGTTTAAGTGAAAGCCGTGGTAGAAGAAGTAGACATGGTTCATTTTCTTCTTCAAAATTTAAAAATTCATATCATAATAATGGAAATAAATCTGATACTGAGGATTCCATTTATTCTTCTTCCCCTTCGTTCCCTTCTTCTACTTCTTCAATAAAAGTTGAACCTGGACATTCTATTTATTCAAAGGAAGAATTCTTTAAATATCCAATTGAATGTCCAATTTGCTTTTTGGTAAAAATAAATATTAATTTTTAAAAAATAATATGCTTTATAAAATTTTTTTTACAAAAAAAATTTTACAAAGTATATTATTTCTAATTATATATATATATACATATATTTATTTTTTTTTTTATATATATATATATTAATAGTATTATCCAAGAAACATAAATTACACACGTTGTTGTGACCAACCTATCTGTACAGAATGCTTTATTCAAATTAAAAGAACTTTTCAAAATCCTGAACCAACTTGGTAATTTTAATGAATTTAAAATAAAATAATATTGATATTTTAATATAAATTTAAATTAAATTATATAATAATGTGAATTTATTTAATAACTATTAATATTTATTATAATATTCTAATTGATTTTAATACTTTTATGATATTTAATGTCGTATTAGTTGT